GCTATCTTCAAGATAATGGAGAGATAATGGCCAGAGCTCCCAGGTAACCTCTATGTTTACTCTGGTTCAATTTCAAGTCCACTAGGCATGGTCTTTCCTACCCCATTTTCATCACAACATTTTAAAAACTCTTTCTTTGCTTTTAAACCTTATGCTTTACCTTACACTGATAACTAGGACAAAGAAATTCTCTTTGCTTTAGATGTCAAATTATGCTCTTTCCTTTCATTTGTTGTAGCACTCCACAACTCTGCTGTGGTTCACTTTGGCATGATTCACTTGCTGCTAAGCGATGCTAAATTCAGTGTCCTTCTCAAGGTTGCTTTCCCCATCTCCAGGAACAAGTCTCAAATTTAAGTCTCAAATTTCCCAGTTGTCTTATTATTATTATTTTTTTAATTAGGCCACATGGCCAGAGATTTTGTTTTCTTTTTCATTAAATCTATGTTGCTACCATGTTACTTCATTAAATTATTAACAGATTAATATCATGGTATCTCCTCATTTGATTTCTCTTCATTTGATTTTATTTTTAAAACAAATGGGCAAACACTACTCTGTGGATAGTAACACTGTGGGGAAACTGACTATACAGTGACATGCAACTAGTGGCAAATAGAGATGTATTTCTCTGCTTCAAATTCTGGGTTTCCCCACAGTTGAATGTCAATAGAGATCACCCATCATGGGGGTTAAAGAGCATTCATTTACATTTTGGAAATCTTCAAACTATGTCCAGTTGTTTTAATTCTTGACAAACAAAATCATTATAGTATAAAAGAGAAAGAGGTAACTGAAGTCCATGTTAAGAATGAAAAAAGTTTGTCACTTTGCTTAGGCTATAAGATCATGATGTTTATCAGACGCTCATGAACCAGGCAGTGAGTGCTCTGAGGTTTCAACATTGTGTAGGGCTGTACAAGGATGTCATTTGCCAGTCAGTTTGTCACAGAAAAAGAGTCTGGAGGATCATCTCTTAAAGAGAAATTATTATTTCAGATGATAAGGTTTCTAAACTGCTGTCTCCACACAAAATTCTGGTGTTTTACTTTCACACTTCTGTTTCTGCTCAGGTCACAAAATGTTAAGAATACCAACATGCCATGAAATTTTAACCACTGCTATAAAAATACATCTTCGAACTGCAGATTTCAGATGGCTGTGTCCTCAGGAAACTTACATGCACCATGTATGCTCAATCGAACTCTTAATTACTCAAGCACTTTTCTTAAATTAAGACATTAAGAATTTCTCTGTTTGCATTTTGTGCCAATTACTGTCAATCTTTTAAAAAATTATAGCAGTGTTTGATGTAATGACAGTTTTCTCGAAGCATCCCCATAGGCTGTGTACTTTCTCACATATTTCCCATCCATTGAATATTGTGAATCAGTAAATTCCCCATCTGACAGGGACAACGTGGTTGACCTTTATGTATGCTTATGCATTTGCATCTTGATAAGAACATTCTTATGTAAGTCTCTAGATGAATAACAAGAGCCTTGCTCCTTAGCCGGCCCTTACCCTCTCAGAGGACTAGCCCATTTGTCCAGCATTATTAGGAATGCCAGTTCTTATAAGTAAGACCGACATCCTGTAAGTGAAAATTTCACCGCTGGGATTAAAAAAAACACTTTGCACTCTGCCGCTGTCTTCTGTAAAACCTAATGCTAACTTAACATTTTCTTGATGATGGAGCGATCTCTCAGGTATGAGACTCTCTGGGGTAGGAAGGGCATCGCGTGGCCTCTGGTTCTTTCCTTATCCGGTATTTACTTCTCTGACCACCTCTACCTTTCCCCCGAATAACCAAATGTTCGCTTCGCCTGCTGGGGGCGGAGCTGTGTGTCTGTTTAGCGCAGCCCTCTGCATTTTCAGGCTGTTGTCTAGAACCTGATGTATCCCAAAGTTTGGGGAGCCCAAAGTTGTTACACTGTCTCAAACACAAAATGACTTTTAAGGTGTCAACTGCAGCTGTTCCGAGCCCTTCTGCCAACTCTATTAGTAATAAAAAACTTGACCAGATCAATGCCTTCTGGGTATGTGAAGACTGAGCTCACACTGGAAGAAAATGTGCTGAGCTAACACTGAGGTTCACTCACTGGAAACTGTCAGCAGGACGTTATTGCCAGGAAATACTGAGAATGTTAATCACCCTTCTCCTAGAATTCTCATTATTTAGTCTCAAGTAGGAGAGGTTTTTAAAAAAATATCAAAACTTTTGCAACTCTTTCTTGCGAACACGTGAAAACCAGGCGGCCCTCGGCCGGCCGCTACTCTCCCTGGGCTAGGCTCCTTCTGAGATGTGGCGTCTGCTCATTACACAGAAAGAGCCACACTGTGGGACTGCGGAGCGGAGATGCTGCTGAAGTGACCCACAACGCACTGGCGAGTCTGGAGAAGGAACAGTCCCCACAGCTGTCTCCTGTCAATTCCACATTGAACTGACTGCATCTGTCCATCTGCGCCGAAGACCAAATGAAGAAGCATGAAACGTGGCCGTCTGGAGATGGCCGGGTCAAAACGTGTTCTATCAGCTTCTCAGTGACTGGGGGAAGCTTATGAACTGAGGACATTATTCACATGCAGGATGTGTGGACATAGCTGTCAGCTTGGTGAAAGCCATGTCCCAGAATCTCAGATACCAACTGGACTGAGCATTGAGTGCAAAGAAATAAATGGGACTTGGCTTCTCTTTTAAGGTTTACAGCCCAGATTCCCTTTTTGAGGAGACACTCAGTCGTGAATCAATGGCAACTGATTTTTAAAATCTGGGCCTTTTTTCCTCTGGCTGTTTTTTAAGATTCTCCTTATCCTACTATCTTGAACAATTTGATTATAATGTAGCTTGGTGTAGGTTTTTTGTTTTGTTTTGTTTTGTTTTGTTTTTGTTTCTTGTGATTTGAAGTGCTTTTGTTTTTCTAAATTTGGAAACTTTTCAGCTATTCAAATATTTTTGTCTTGTTCGTTCTCCTTTGGAGACAGCAATTATACATTGACCAGGCACTCATGCATTTCTGCCTTCCGTATTCATTGTGTCTTTACTGCCTAGAGCCTCCAGCGCTGTCTTCAAGTTCAACACATTTTCCTTGGAAAGTCTAATACACTATTGATCTCATTTCATGTATTTTCCATTTCAGATATTGTATTTTAAACTATACTTGGCTTGTGGTTTTAAATATATTTCTGAAGTTTTCTACTTCACTTTTTGGATATAGGGGGTATATAGCTTAACTTTTAAAGCAAAAGTTGATGTCTTAACATTCAAGAGCTTCTCAAGCTCAAAGACAGCTCTCTAACTTTATATTGTTATAATGAGACCTTCAGCATTTATCAAAGAAAAATGACACTTCATTAAAGAAACTTGTAATAAGATGGTACACTTGATTAGCCACCATCTAGAAGCCTCCGTACCTCAGGCCAGACTCAACCCTGCAGCGGGAAGCCCGCCTTACCCAGCCCATTTGGGTCCATCTCTCAATGCATGGAGACTAGTAGGAACTGAGACTCTTGCAAGAGACAGTGACAACCCTTGGCCTGTGCATCCTGCTCTCATATTTGCACCTGCTGTCATAGCTGATCTACAGGACAGGTGAAGCAACCATTGGTCGCGTTCAGAGATGCCGCACCTGAGACTTAAGAGGCCATTTAAACCTGCTCAGAGAAGGTGGAGCCTTCTTTTGAATTGTGATTTGACTCAAAGCCTGCTAAGCTGAGAGTGGGATGATGTCTAAGGGCTGGTTCCAGAAAGTCATCTCCATTAATATCTCTTTCCTGCCTGTGTGGGCTATCGGGAATTCCGCCAGTTGCAACTCTGCTTTTTAAGCTTTTCTCTGGTTCAAAGCAAGAGACACCTTCACTTCAAGCCCTGTCTGACCTGGATGCTGTAGTTGCAACATTAAGGATCCTTGTGGGTATGACTGGGGTGGGGCGGGGAGGGTGAACTGAGACAATGACGTCCATTCATAATATGGTCAAGAGATGGGCAGAATGGCATCCGTGGCCAGCTCCTTTGGGAGCGCTGTCAAGAAGGCAGTGCCAGGGCTGGGCCTACAGCCACAGACACAAGGATGACGCAGGAGGAGACAGGAAGGCAGAGAGCAGAAGACACAACTAGAGGGGTTCGGGGTCACAAGGGTGGCATCCACACACTGAGTTTCTGTGACTTCTCTGTGGCTGCGTCTACAGTAATATAGACAATGAATGACCAAGAGTGACTGCTGAGTGTCCCAAGCCCCAGGCTTTGGTAATCCATAAATGGAGAACGGATGGCAGGGGCTCACGCTTCTTCTCTGGACACTTTCCTCAACTGCCTTCATTTATCTGAGAGGTTACGCTCTTTGGATGTAATCAAGCAAGTTAGCTCCAGAATGATCAGTGACCAAACTCAAGAACTGTTGGCTGTGCAGAATCCCTTTCTGCCTAAAGTAAGACTCATGGAAATTCTCCCTGGAAACCTGTTAGTAATTGCACATTTCTGAGGGCTCAGAGAAAAAGGTCCCTCTTCCTCTCCTGCCCAAGCACACGTTTGCTTGACTTTACATCCTGTTAGTGATAAGCACCGATACTATTCTTTCCTGTCAGCCTGTAATTTAAACAAGCGATGGGTCTTTTCCTAAGTGAACAGGGCCAGCTACAGCTTTGTAGGGAATCACTTCGATGTGCGTGGGTGTCAGTTCCCTTAACAGTCAGCACTGGGCGCTTGGAGAATATCCACCTGCCAATCTCCCCTGAAGACAAAGCAGCTCAAATGCAATGGAAAGCAGCACTTTCAAGGACTCTACTTCGATCCCTCCGTGTTCTGTAGTGATTTTCGAGCCCTTAAGACAAACTGTGAAAGGAATACCTTCCCAAGTCCACCAGCTCAGTGTCACAGCTCTTCTTCCAAAGTCCTCAAAAACCTGATCAGAATGCACTACTCAGAACTGAACTTCTCTCATTTTCTGAGCACATGGTTCACGGCTTCATATTTCTTTTTTATCGTAACACACCAGACATACCTTCCAGCTCCCTGCAGCCAAGTTCTGCAGAGCGCCAGCCGCCCCTTCCAGCGTGTCTGCGTTTGAGCACTCAGAGAGCAGTGTGAGGTAGGGTTTGACTATTGATGGATGCCACAGCATCTGGATCCCTTTGGGAGGCTCTGCACAGTCTGGAAGAGGTCCTACTCCATCCCACTGGGGAAAGAAAAACGAGAGAGTAAACATCTTTTAACATCCTTGTACTTCTCCACACTGCCTTCTGCAAACATTCAAAATGAAAACCAAAGCAAGGTGCCATCACCACTGGGGGCATCTCCTGCGGAAAGGGCGCTGCCTCTGCCCTGGAGGGGCCGCCCAGAAGTGCTGTTCCTGACCCCCCAAGGGCTGTGACACGTTATGTGCACCTTGAAGGAGCAGGAGTTTGCACGCTCTGAGGACAATTCTAGATATGGATCTAGGAAGGAAGGGGGACAGATGGGTTAATTTGACTGGGAAGGGCGGGAAGAAGCTGAAAGACCAAGGCAGCTTAGTTTTGTCACCTACGACAGGCAGGGGCAGCGAAGTCCCCACACGTCTTTTGCACAAGTGTTAATGTGATACATTCCCAGACACCTTGTAAAATACACATCTGCTTATTTTTGAGTGAGATCTTTGCACCCATGGGCACCCAGCCAATAACAGAATGGACAGAAAAGGAAACTGCTATGGTTTGACACTGACACCGGATACAGGAGAATCAAGGTCTTGTGGCAATTTCAGGAGTTAAGTTTGCTTTGAATCGAATCTAATGAGTAACATGAGAACGTGTAGTTAAAATCGTTTAACGTATTTACGGTGTACATACACACAGAAATATCAGCAGACCCTTAAAAGCGATTGATCTGAAGCCACGTGGCCACTGGGCAAGAAAGCACGATAGAAGTTGAATAACCAAGGAGAGCCAAGGGGATGCATCGCACAGCCCTGTGCTGGTCATGAGAAATTACTGCTAGCATGCTTATTCTACATTTACATCTGCCACTCTTATCATTTTAAGCATGCTAAAATTATAATAGTTGTGCTTCTAGAGCCACACACCACTTTTGTCGTTTGGGAAAACTACAGAGTAAGGGCAGTAGAGATGAAGTGCATGTTTTCGAAAATACTCCCATGAAAACATGGTTGAGAAAAATCACAGTACAAGTAACAACTCCTTTATAATTTGGGCAGGTATGCGAAGCTATTTAACTGTTCATTTGTGCTTAGGGATGGCTATTTAAGCTAAGTGGAGTCGGCTATATATTAAGATTTTCTGCAGTTACACTGTGTACTACATATCTGTATGTATACAGGTATCTGTAAATCAGGACAGCGGGGCCACTTCAGAATCTGTGCAGCCCTTCGTTTGGAGAACTTTACTGGATGACAACCGAGGTTTAGTTCACATCCTTGGAACATGGGCATGGAAGTGTCAGGACTAATGCGAAGCTGTCTCTCACAATCAATACTTTCATCATTATTTTCAAGAGAAAAATGTAAATCTTCTGCCCTTTTTCCTGCAGCTTAGTTTAAGTCACACTCAAGACTCAGTGGTCAATGATGTCCCATAGGAGGGGGTGGGCATGCCAGGACAGGATGGGGCATTCCTGGGTAAGGGTGGGAGGTGGGCATGTCAGGACAGGGGTGGGCATCCCACCAGGGGTCCTTTTTCCACTGAGAATGAAAACTTCATAACCAGGACACTCAATGCAGGACGTTCTTTTAGTCCAAATAACACTAATTCCAAATCATTCAAAGATGACATTGTTCCTGTGCTTATTAGTGATGCTAGAACATCTCTTTTAAATATGTATTTAAGAAGATGGAAAGGGAGCTGGAGTGCTCCTGGCTGCTATTTGAGACTGGTGTGTCGCAAGGGGTAGAAACAGAGGGAAAGGAACAGTCACTGTGGGCTTGTGGCCTTTGAGGATGAAGCAGGGCAAAGACTGGCTTTTAAAGGAAACCAGCTCGAGACATTATTATTGTGTTTCCATATTCGATTTTGTCACCTCCTTAACACTCTTAAGCTATCATTTTCACAGGAATTCAGAAAAACCAGACTGAAATGCACAGCTCGCCATGGATGAAATTCCTGCTGCCATCAGCAGCAGGGAGCCCAGGGCAGTCAGGTATTTGCAGGCTCATTACCAAATGTGCCAGACAAGCGTGAGGAAGCAGAGGCAGAAGCTGCACTGACTTCTCCCGTCTCTGACCTGTTCTCCTTTCTTAACTTCGGCACAATAAAGCTGGGTAGACGGCTAACTCAGTAGACAGCTTTCCTCCGATGGTGCTCCGTGTCACTCTTAAATACCTTTGATTACAATCTTTTCTTAATGGCTGCAGAGAGGTGCTGAAGGAAATAAAAGGGCGGCTGGTGTGACTGCGAAGCATCTTTGATGGCAGCCGGTGATGAGCGGCATCGCGGTGTGTCAGCACTGAGGAAGAGCAGTGATTTCCACGGTAGCCCACGTAGCTAGCCCTTATCTCCTCCTGTGTTCGAGCTTTTATTGAGTTCATGGGGACAGAAGTATCAACTATCCATCAAACTAAGGATTTTCATCACCCGCAGGAAGACCGAAGTCCTCTGTAAGGTCAAATGTTAAGTCCGGGCGGGGCTGCCTGGAGAAGCACCATCAGTGGATGGTGGGACAGTGGGGCAGCTGAGAAACGGTTCTGCCCGGGGGAAGCCCTAATGCCAACCTTCTAGCATGAAGAGCCAGGAGAAACGAGGGGCATGCCGTTCTTACTAAGCGGAGTATCTCACCAGATGCTGCTAGCCTAGAATTACCACAGAACTGGTATCTAGCGTGACAGCAACATCTTTGACACAAAGTCCCAACCACTCAGCTGTCTGTTTCTAAGAACGCAGGAGAGAATTGATAAGTGGCACCCAAATTATGTTTGTTTTGGACTACACCTTGAGGGCATATTGCCAAAGATTCTCTAGGAACATGAAAAACGGAAATAATATATCAAGAGGCAGAGCACAATCAAGCTAGGAGACTTCCACGGAGGGAACATTCAGACTCAGAGCGCTTCCAGGAGACCAGCGGGCTCCTGCCTAAGTCCATCACCTACACGGCCCCCAAGTCGGGCATCTGTGTGCACACGCAGACACACACATGCGTGTTTCTGTGTCTTCAGGCTCTTCGTGTTGCAACAACCAAAATCAAGCAGAGACTATAAACAGAGAGCAGAAAGTAAAGGCGAAGGCAGCTGTCTCTTAAATAAGGGTTACTCCAGCTGGGAGGAAGTTTAGGAAGAGCACCCCAAATATAAAGAGGTGACGGGATAAAGTCGGGAGGTCCAGGACCCGTCACGTGAAGATGTGCACGCTCTGGCAGGCGCCTGGGGGAGCGGCTGGCTCCTGAGCAGCCAGTGCACCCCACCAGCCGGGGATGAGCAAGGGGGCTCAGTGCCTCGCTGAAGGACTTGCAGCTGTCTCAGGCTCGGGGCCAGGTGCCGTGGAGGTGAGAACAAGCCTGACCTCATCCCAGGAGGAGTCACTTTCAGGGGAAGCCCTGACTCTCTGGCCCTCCTCGGGCTCGCATCGTGGCGGTTAGGGTTTGTGCAAAGAAAACACCTTTCTCTGCTGAGTATTTCCCACACAACAGAAAAGACCCCTTGGCCAGCAGAGTGCAGCTCCAGGGCCCGGATTTCTCCGCCACAGGCAACGTGGCTAACTTCATCCTTGTGAAAAAGCAACAGCCTGGAGATGCTGCAAGATCAGAGCAGCCGAGGGCGAGCGGGCCCCGCCCTCAGGCCGAGTCCCACGTGCAGACGCAGGCAGCCCGGCTGTCCCGGTGGAAGCTCCAGGGAAGGTGCTTGCAGGCTGGGCTTGGCACAGTGCGGCTGGGGTCAGTGGTGGACTTCGCAAAGCAACAGACGAGCCCCACGCCCTGCCGCACCATCTGCCACCCTGGCTTGATGGACGCGATGCCTGAGACGCCCAGCTGAGGGTCTGAGTGGCCGGATACCTGGGAGACGCCCAGCTGATGGGCACTGTCGGGGAGGAGCGCAGAGGAGCAGAGTGATCGTTCTTTACAAACTGCAGTAACTGGAGAGAGCCAGGTTGCAAAGGGCTCTTGTTGGCTCTTCGGTATTTTGAAGCCAGGTAGTGGGGCGTCCGAGAGGGAAGTTCGCCCGAGCGCAGAGGGGGAGGCGGCGGCCGGCTGGCAGGTAGCACAGTCAGGTAGCACACGCTGGCCCGGGCTCTCCTCGCAGCTAGACGGGCGGCATCTGGGGGCCAGGGACCCCTACTGAACAGGGGGCCAGGGGCTGTGTTTTTGAGAGTGTCAACAAAAGCGATTCAAGGGCAGCCATGCTGGCTCAGCCTGTGGATGTGGGGCCCAGGGCCAGGCAGGCCCAGAGGAGGAGCTGGGGAGGCCGGGAGGGGGGCGCCCCAGAAGAGGCATGAACAGCTCTGGTCCATGTCCCTGGGCTCGTCTGCGACTTCTCTACGTCATCATGATGGCATCACCTGGAACACTGTGAAAGCTCATCCCGAATTCCCTCTGCTCCTAACTTCGCGTCCACATCACTCAAGACGTGGACCACGGTGCCCGCTGCCACCTGCTCCATGACAGGGCTCATGCCGCTCTCCTTCAGGTTGGCCTGGGTCTTGGCTGCTTATACCTTTGGCAATACGCCCCTCAAAGGCCACGTGACACGGTGGTTCTCCACTGGGGTGGTTTTACTCCCCAGCGGGCCGTCTGGCACTGTCTGGAGACAGTTTTGGTCGTCACACCGAGCAGAGGGTGCATTTGACACCCCCCGGATAGAGTGAGGAGCATGCCAGGTGCCTGCAGGCAGAGCTCAGCCCTCACTCCAGGGAACTACCCGGCCCACATGAGCCATCGCAAAGGGTGCCAAGCCCTGGGCTGGCAGCAGAGAATATTCACTAGCAGCGCGAGTAACGTGTGACCACGGAAACTAGAGGAAACACATAAATGGCATCTATGGGCCTCCCTGGTGGCGCAGAGGTTAAAGCGCAGCACTGTGAAGCTATCGGCAGCCACTGCAACAGGAGCTCGACCCCCGGCCAGGGAGTGACCCACAGGGCGCAGCAGCGCATTTCAGTAGATCTGCCTGTTCTGCTCCCCACTCTGTCTCTGGTGAGTCCTCTCACCCCATGCACCTCTGGGCTGTACCCCAGTTCTTGTGTGCATAAATAAATAAATCTTTCCAAAAACTAAAAAATCAATAGTGTCGAAGCTGCAGAATCACTGACGGCAGCAAGGAGGCGTCCTGGCCGCGGGTCTCCATCGAGGGGCGAAGGGCGCGCAGCGAGAACGCGAATCTCACGTCTGGCGACACCCTACCCCTGCGTTTGGCGCGGGAGAGCCCAGCCAGACGGCTGAGGGGCCAGCCCGGGTGGGAGCAGCAGCTGAGACAAGCAGATGGTCGGGAGGGGGCGGGTGCAGCAGCGGAGGGCGCGGCGCGGATACCGGGGAATCAGGGAAGCCGCCACGGAAACAAACCCGGGGCCGGGCGTGGGCCGAGCGCAGGGCTGGCGCGCAGCCGGGTCTCCGCGTGTGCTCAGCGCGCACACGCTGCCCTGCGTCCAGGCGCCTCAGACCAGCCGCGACCCACCCCCTAGGCCCAGGCGTCCACGTGGTCTGGAGAGCTCCACCCGCGAGAACTTCCCCTAAGGCTGGAGATTTAACAGCACAGTTTTGCATGCTGTAATTTGGGCGCAACCGGATCTGTGACAGTTGGGGACTAGCTCACACCCTTGGTGGGAACCCCCACACAGGCCTAGGCACCTCCCCACATTCTGGTGCGAACGCAGGGGCCTGGACAGCCGGGAGGGAGGTCATCGGAGTCAGGGGGTCCCTGCCTGTCTCAGTGGGACTTCACCTCCGCCGCCTGGGAACAGAGCCCGTTTGGGGGGGTGGGGGGCGGGGCTGATGTCACCTGAGTGCAGGTCAGGGAATGGAGGGGGGGTGTGGGGGGGAAGGCCCTGTCTGCAGGCGACTTGCAAACAGGAAGGTAGAGAAAAGCAGATCTTACAAAAGTTACTGTGCGCACACAGTTCTAAACAATTTTAGTGGTCAAACGGCCCTCCTTACAGGATGCACTGCTCTGACGGCACCCCCTTGGGAGGCCCCTGCACCCCTTTTCCTGTCTCTAAGAGAATACCCTAGGGGCTGGGCTGCCCCCCAGAGACACTCCCCGCCCCTCCCTGAGGCAGGTTTGCCCCAGGCAGACCAGAGCTGCATGCGCCCCGAGGGAAGGGGCCGCCTTGCCCGGCCTGTTTCTGGCCTGACCGTGAGTGTGGAGATGACGAGCCGCCCTGGACACGAGGGGCAGCACCTGAGGAGAAGGCATGGCAGGTCCAAGGGGGGCCCGAGGGCCCGGGGCAGCCCCACGGCACTGGGGGGCCCCGTCCCTCTCGGCACGTGGACGTCCGAGCAACCCCAGCCAGGGCGGCCTGGGGCAGCGGAAGGCTGCAGGCGCCTCCACGTGGAGAGAAGCCCCGAGGGCGACCTGCCGGCGCCATCTCACTGATTCCCGGGGGCTGGCGGAGGCCTGTGGCCTGCGGGACTTTTCGTCCTGTCGCTCACTGCGGATACTCAGCCGTGAGCCCGGTGCTACTGCGCACCTGCACACCTGTGCACGCTCGTGCACACACAACTAACGCCCATGTTTTTCTGGAATAAAGAGAAATTATTTCCAATCGAAGGAACATCAACACTCCAGTATCTTTGAGTGGCTTGAACTAGTGACCAAATTCACTTTTGTGCTTGGGGCGCTGAGGGCTGCTCTGGAGTCTGAGTGTCATCTCTGGGCCACCCAAAAGTGGCCACTGTGGTCAAGGTCACTGTGGTCAGGTCAGGTGCTGCTGGGCCGGCCAGGCCAGCAGCTCTGTCACCCGGCCCCTGCTAGGGCCCACGAGCCAGGCACCGACTTGCGGACTGAAAGCAGGAAAGCGTTCCCTTCCACACGAGGCGGAGAGGTGAGCCGACATCGTCCATTGCTTCCTCCCTGGACCCTGATCCCCCACGTTGCCACCTCTGCTGGCAAGGAGGCGGGGGGCCGGCCGGTGTGGGCTGAGCCTCTCGGCACACGGCAGTGCCAGGGGAGCACACGGCTGTGCCCGGGCAGGGCAGGGGAATTGGCACTTTCTTACATTTTGGGACAGACGCTGAACACAGGTCAGAAGTCAGCGAATCCTTAAAGTGCTCCTGGACCCAAATAGAGCGAACAGAGGTGTCAGAATCACGGCTCGCGCCCGCCAGCGGACTGTTCACTTGGACAGCAACGGCCTCTGGACTAAGAGGCTGCGGCAGCCTGTTTTCTTGTGGTCACTTTTGAGTTACCCCTCCCGGGGACCCGAGGAGGACGTGTCCAAGACGTTTCTTCTAACTAAACCAGGCCTGCAGAATGTTGCTGAATGTTCGTAGGGTTACGCGGTGCCGAGGCCAAACGTCAGAGGCAACATGTTTCTGGAACGGAGCAGCCACAGAAGCCGCCACTGTGCCTCTGTGCTCCCCGCATGTGGGGCTCCCAGCTCCGGGGTGGGGGTCTCTGCGGGGCTGGGGCTAGTCCTTTCTTTTACAGCACCTCTGATGCTTTTCTCAGCCACATCTTAAATTCAAGAGAAGAAAAATGTGTGCATTTTTGCCAGCTACCATTTACTTAGTTAATTCCTTTCTGAAAGTCATTTTGAATGGTATTTGCAAAGACTACAGGCTTGACGTCCTCTGCAGCACATCTGTAAACACGCAAGTGTAAGAAGAGCGAGTCACAGGCTTTGGTGTTAATGCGCTTTTTCTAGAATTGCACACTGTCTTCACTTGCCTCTATTTAATATTTGCTCATAGTTTCCCAAAGCCAGCCAGGTTTATCTGCATCATATCTCTATCGACACACCTACTTTTATATTTCTATTTCACTTGGCTTTGCACAATTTTCTCTAATCATTTCATAGTCTTTGAAAACCCCACTTTATGAACAGTGGATTCCGGGGAGTGGGTGGTATCTGAGCATCTCTGAGGCTGTAAAACCAGCACTCTGGAAGACTGTGGCGAGTCAAATCCATGGGCAGGCCCCGGGGGTGTCGTGCCATGCTGGGGATGGCAGGTCTTGGGACTCTCCTCACTGCTGCCCGTGTCAAGTGCTCACCAGGGCCCCAGATGTCCCACTCCAGGCTCTGGCCCTCAGTTCTGCTAGGGCTCACTTCTCCACTCCTTTCTAGGGAAGGCGGAGCTGGTCTCCCGGTGCAAGGCCCTTGAGGAAATCCTCAGTGCTTTTCTGCTTTTCCCTGCTGGCGCAAAGGCCAACCGTAGCCAGCAGGTGGCGCCATCTCGACCCACTTCTCTCCAGGGGACTCACCAGGCCAGGAGGCCGCTGCACCCCTAACCAGCTCAGCTTTCCCCTTCCACCGGCTCATATGCAAGATAGTTTTCGCTGCGTTTAAATCTATGGAGCTCATTCACAGCACACACTGAACCAGCATCATTGTTACCGCTTGTGTTTCCTGGCGCTTCCATATAGTCTGCTATTACATTCTGCAGTTAGAAGGCCATGGAGAAATGCTGCCTGACACCTGTCACCTGCCTTTTGCAGTTTCTTCATGAACAATACTCCACGGTGCTTTGACTTATGCTAGTTTAAGCAAAACTTTCTTAAAGTTTCTTTTTATCTCTTAACAAATACTGCAAGAGAAAAGTGGGACAGACAAACCAAATACATTTTCATATACGCTTGGGATAAAAATCTGATAGTTCTATGACTCACTCGCCCCAGTTTGGCTCTGTGGGGCTGTGGAGTCACAGGTCTCGTCCTGGTCAGGACTGGTCTTGTGACCCCAAACCTGCTCTCCCCTCCCCTGACCCCCCCCCCCACGTCTCAGTCACCACAGAGTCGTCAAGCCACCAGTGCACCTGGGCAGGTAGGAGGCAGGTAGGCCCGGGGCTCGGGCAGAACCCACCACCTGAGCCGCGGTGACAGGTGCGGGGCCCTGAGACGGGAGAGTGGACGCACTCCCTGCCGGAAGCTTCCAGCCGGCTTGTGTCCCGTTAATGCAGAGTCCTGAACCCCCTTTCACAGGTGGCCCACAGCAGCCTGACTGTGACCAGCGTCCAGGGGAGAGTGGACACATGACCACACTGTGTGAGGAGAGGCTGCCCACGAGGCCACAGAGCCCCAAGTGTCAGGGGAAACGGGAAAGCTGGGGTGGCCGGGGCTCCTGGCAGAGCAGAACTGGCCTGTGTGTACCCTGCCCCCCTCCCGGCGGGCGAGGCCTGGCCTGGGGCTCCCAGGAGAGGCTGCTGCTGCACCCCAACAAGGGCTGGGTGCTGCCCGGCCCTGACTGCACTGCAGGAAACCCCCTGGCAGCTGCAGGAGGGGGCGCCATCGACCCTCCAGCAGGCCCTACTGCCCTCCTGCTGGGGCTGAGGGTCGTCACCCCTCCCCTACAGCTGAGCACCGGGGAGCACGCTCCCCCAACGTTCCAATACACTGAAGTGCATGGGGGAGGGCGCGGCCATCCCAACGCCTTCTCAGCTCTGTGCTCCCCACCAGCCCTGGGCCCCGCCCAGGGAGCCTGGGGTGCCGCTGGCAGCCTGGACTAGACTGGACCCCTGAGCTGGTATCACCGGGCCTGCCCGGGACTGGGGCGGCTCTTTCTTTCTGGAAATGTCCTCTCGCCGCCAGCCAGGGCGCCAAGCACTATGCCAGGACTGTAGCTCTGACCCGGGAGTCGGCGGACGCTGTGCGGTGGCCACAGGGCCTGCGCCCGCCTGCAGACGGCGAGGCGGGCAGGGGAGGGGCGCACGCCCGCATCACCTGGTCCTGGGCCTTCTTCTTCTTCTTTTTCTTGCCCCAGCAGCCCGAGCTCTCGCCGTCCTTGCCGTTGGCCTCCCCGCACAGAAGCCCGTCCAGCTCGTCCGTGCCCATGTGCTGTCCCTGAGACGTTTCTGCTGCCAGCCGGTACGAGAGGTTCCTTAAAATGCACACACAGTTTTCAACGGTCTGGAGAACCCCAAAACAAAAACAAAGACAAGAAAAGGAAACAGAGGAGCAATGAATAAAACTAACCGGCACGCCCTCCACCCAGAGAAGCAGTCAGCCTCCACATGGCATCTCTCTTTGGGGGCTTTTAGCGGCGCGGGAATCATTCAAGGGGACCTGGAGAGTGCTGGAGACCTTTGCTCCCCCCAAAAGAGACGATTCTGAAGACTGGGGATTTCCACAGCCAGGTGTAGTCGTTAAATGAATGCGCTTGGGGTACGTGGGGGTGGGCGTGGGGAGGAACCCAGGGTGAGGTCCATTTACAGACAACACCCTCTGGTGCGGGGTCTCGCAAACCCCAAGGACGTGGACGATCGGTGGGTGATGGACGCTAATGGACGCCAATGGTCAGCACCTTATCATCCACCAGGGCACATTCTGGGGGCAGGGAGGGGCGAGCAGGGGGCGCTGGGGTATGGATCTTTCCAGCACACTGCTCTTCTGTGACAGGCTGTTGCTCTTGCTGTCCTAGCATGGAGATTAAACTGCAGACCCACCCTGTAGGGGCCTCCGTCTCTGGCCACTCACTAGCCGTGTGGCCTGGACAAAGCATCTCCCATCGCGGTGGCTCAGTCTGTCAGTGCTAATAGGTGTATCCAGGTGTGTGCGTTAGACAAGCCAGTGTGCGTGAGTGGGAAGACGAACGCCCTCCCCACCCCGAGATGGCCACAGGAGGCTGCAACTACGGTAGGTCACGTGTTGGGGAATGAAATTTGCAGTGAGAATCAAGGTTGCTCATCCCCTTCACGGGAGGAGATGGGCCTGGATTATGGGGTCCACGCAATCGCCAGGGTCAGCAGTCGAGAGAAGGAAGCAGAAGAGCTTGAGGGGTGATCTGAGCGGACATGAGCGCCCCACGCCAGTGGAAGGTGGAGGAAGGGCCACAGCTAAGAATGTGGGCGGCTATAGAAGCTGGAAAAGGCAGTGGAAGGAAGTGGAACCCCCGTGCAGCCTCGGGGGGGGTGTGTGTGACTTGTCCACACCCTGAGTGTAGCCCCATTTCCAGACCCACATGAGGCTCCTGACCTCTGAAATAGGAAGGTCATATCTTAGTGGGGCTGTGAGTCTCCAGGTTTGCGGCAATTTGTTACAGCAGCCAGAGCCAGCGAGCGATGACACAGGTCAGGACCGAGGCCAGAGCCCGGCACAGGGGGATGCCTGGGGCTCTCTCTGGTCACTCACCAGGGCGGGGACAGCTCCTGGGATCAGAGGGTGTGAGCTACAGTGGTGGGTCTGCCAGTGGAGGGGGTGTGTGTGCTCTTGGGCAGCGTGCCTGGTCTCTTTCCTCCAGAGGCCCCGGCTCTGAACACCCCACACTGGAGATTAGGTCTCACAATAAACGGGGAGGGAACAGGCCATCCAGGGCATCCGCCTTGACCTCCAGTCTGGATTTGAGAAACTGCGGGAGGAGGGGAAAATACCCAGTTTTGTCCTTAAAAAGGGCCAAAGGGAACGGAGCTAAGTTTTATCTTCAAAACCAACTTGACGGTCACTTTCCAGGGACCTGCTGTGGGACAGAGTGCCACAGGCAGGAATGTGGTTCCCTCACAGATGAAGGAGAGGAACTGGACGCGGTGGGGACACATAATGGACAGCACCACGTGCCAGGCCAGGGCAGCGTGGCCGGGGGTGCCGGGGTGAATCCGCACTGCCCCCCGCCCCCCGCTTCTGGCTGCAAACTCATGTCTTGGGCTTGTCTGCTGGGATCCTGCCAGTTCCAGGATCTGCGTCTGGAGCCTTGGCCATTCCAGACCTTTCTTGTCAGTTTATCAAGGATTCGCGGGCTGCTACTCCCAAGGGCTTTTTGAGTCAATTTGATTTTCTATTTCAAGCATCTTCTCAGCATCAAAAAAAGAACTGGCGTGAAGCAGGTAAACACAGGACAGTGCATGAAAGACAGCAAACTCTCAGGGAAATGTGGCATTCGTCGGAAAGACTCCTAAATCAGCTCCAGCTGATTTTTCTTACATCAAAGACTTGGGAGAATAAACTTCGTTCTCATCCTGCAGGTGTCCCGAGGGTCTGTCTGTGCCTCTGCTTAACAAATGGCTTCCGGGGGATGAATCAGCTCTTTCCAGAGTGCTCTGTGGTCTGCCTGTGGCCCGGAGGTGTGTGGGGAGGCTGGGAGCGGAGTGAGGCCGGGGGTTGTGGGGGGGAGGGATGGCTAGGGGATCAACTCTCCTTCATCTTCCTCAAGAGCAGCAGGGGGCCCGGAGGCTTTCTGCTAAGGGACCGGGGAGACAGAAGATGGAAAGCTGGCTGGGCGCAGGGTGCTGCTGGTGGCTCCGCTTCCCACGTGGCAGCCATCAGTGGCACCTGTAGCCGCTACTCTTGGTCATCTGGGTCGTGGCGACGCCTTTCTGTTAGAAGAGGCTGATTTGGGGGCTGTCCTCAGACTGCTCCACCATTTACCCATTCGACAAACAGTCCCAATTAGAGGAGGCAAGCTGAGCCCTCCCTGGGATGGGGCCTTTCCCATGAATTCTGCCAGCCTTAAAGTGAATGTGCTTGTTTGTCCTCCCCCTGCTTCGTCACTGTGAAGCTTAGAAGTGGCTGAGGAGAGGGCAGAGGGCTGGGTGCAAAATGACGGCCACTCTTGTCATGCATGACGGCTGGCACAGCTGGCAGCCAAGCGTGTGGGATGGTGGATGGCATCTGATGCCGCAGCGGTTTAACACCGGCTCGTCAGAAAGCGACTGTCACGGTGCTGTCTAGACACCGGGTCAAGGCCACCCAACAGGAAGATCTGGTTGGTCTTCTGGTTCCAGGCCACAAATGTCCCACGATTATCCCAGTATCTTCCACGGGGGAGATATGGACCTTAAAAGCATGGCTATCCATATGCAAAGATGTTCAACATCACTCGTAATAAGGGAGATGCAAATTAAAATCACAACGAGATACCACCTTGCACCAGTGAGAATGGCACATCTTCAGACAACTAGCAACAACACATGTTGGCGAGGATGTGGAGAGAAAGGAACTCTCCTGCACTGCTGGTGGGGATGCAAAATGGTGCAACCACTATGGAAAACTGTTTGGAGGTTTCTCAAACTGCTAAACATGGAGCTTCCACATGACCCAGCAATCCCACTCCTAGGTATCTACCCAAAAGACACAGAAACACTGATTCAAAAAGACACCTGCACCCCCATGTTTATTGCTGCTTTATTACAATAGGAAAGACATGGAATCAACCCAAATGCCCAATAGCAGATGGCTGGATTAAAAAGATGTGGTACATGTGCACAATGGAATATTACTCCACGATCAAAAAGATAAACTCATGCCTTTTGCAGCAACATGGATGGAGCTGGAAGGGATCGTGCTTAGTGAAAGAAAGAAAAGGAAAAAATACCGGATTGTTTCACTCGTAGCAGGAACATAAAGGACCAGGGGCAAATAATAATAATAATGATAATGAACAACTATATACCAGAGACATTTTATGGGGGTGGAGTGGGGAATGGGATCAAAAATGGGAGGCGGGGAGTGCACGGACTATGGTGATGGGAAGCCCACGGGGATTATAACTGAGATGGAAAAAGGCACAAACTGATGTAAAAATAAACTATAATAATAATTAAAGAAAAAAACTGAAAAGACAAGACACAGGCTGGAAAAAAAAAAAGCACGGCTACCGAGGTGGTGCCTGGGAGCCCAGTCGGCGTGTCTGGACCAGGTTCTGCGCCTGGGCACTGCCGCCCCAGCAACAGTCTTGTTCTTGATGCCCCTGGCGCTGCCCAAGGGTCCTGCCCTGGGTGGTCTCAGCACGGTGTGAGGCCTGACTCAGGGCCAGGGCTGGGTCATGGGCCCTGGAGGGAGACCCTGAGGTAGGGTGGTCCCGCCACATCACGCCAGAAGCCTTTCCTGCAGCATGCCATACTGACCGGCATATGAAGCCTGAGAACCAGAGAGCAGAGTTTGATGCTCACACTCGCAGGCTGTGCTGGCGGGGGGGTGGGGTGGGGGTGGGGTCGAGGCTCTGGCTGCTGTGGTGCCCCAAGACGACTATGAGGAAGATTCTGCATGGAAACCCCGGTGAAGGCCGTGCTCACGACAGGGCCAGTTCCCCACGGACACCTGGCCACACCCGGAGACATTTTTGTCTGGTGCAGCCGGGGAAGGCTGCTGGCATGGAGACAGGAGGCCAGGAATACTCAACCCCACGGGCACAGGGTGGTCCCAAAACTGAGTAAGCTGGCCCGGAATGTGAATTGTGCAGCTTGAGAAGCTCTTATTACCGTATCGCACGTCCTACTTTGAAGGCATCGCTAGCCCGCTTCTATCAGCAGGCTAGTATGAAATTGCACATTTATATTTAGAGGGAATCAACATTAGCCAGAAGACCCCGTCAGGCCAAACGGACTGGCTCAGACACCAGAGGCCACCGACCTGTGTGGCGTGTGTGCTAACCCTGAATGACCACCTGTGGTGAGTGACATCGAGGCTCCTTTATCCAGCATTTTGATGGCGTTTCATCAGCCTCTTTTTAAATGGGATTTGATGCATTAACAGTTGTTCTACAGTTAACATGGGACGATGGGGTTAATAACCCCCAAGGTGTGACACCTCCTGTTCTTTGGACGACAGGTGCTGTAACACGAAACTAGATGCTGGCTGCGCCCTGAGCCCCTGCGGGGTGGGCGGCTTCGGCCCCCGCAGGTTTTGTTCATCCCGAATCCAGACCAGGTTGCCGACGTGAGGCTCGGCCTAGAGCACTCTGGGCTCAGGAAGGAGCCCCAGGTGATTTCAGCGCCCTAGCGCTGAGGCCGTGTCGGCTCTCCGGAGGCCGGCTCCGCCGGGGTGCACCCCAAGACGCTCTGCCCACGCGAATGCCACAAACCTTGCTGTCGATCTCACTGCTGCCCAGCGCGGCCTGGATCACGTAGAGCAGCGCGTCTGTGAGCCCGTCACACTCCCGCATCCTCCTCCGCGCCTCCTCTCCGGCCGAGCTGACATTCCTGCAAAGCAAAGGCACGCATCAGCCACCTCACGGGACCCCCGGCAGGGTCCCCATGCCACCGTGCTCTACACAAACACACGTTGCCTCTTCACAGTGTTTATCCCGAGTCTTCACGAGTTGGGGTGACGCCGCGAAGGGCTGTCATGTGTCTCTCGAAATGCAGAACCACAGTTCCATGGACGCAGTTGTGGGGTAAATGAATGAACCGAGCTTTTACGCCACTAGGCCGTCACCTGCGGCCTCGATCATGTCGATGCAGAAGGCGCTTGGCGTGTGGGTGGGGAACGCGTGTCTGAGTGGGGTACCTGGAGTGGGGGTGCACACCTGAGCCTAGAGGCACAGATAAAAGCAGCAGCAGAGGCGGCGGCGGGAAGACTGACCTCGTGACAGAAGAGGCAAGACCGCGAGGCGCAGGGAATTCTCCGGGGCGGGGAGCTTCCAGTCTCCTGCCCCTCTGCTCGGCCCCGCCCACCCTCTGCCGGGCTGCCCCACTCCAGTGATCTGTGAGGGCCTTGGGGTCCCTGAGGATGCGGGGCTTTCAGAAAAGCAAGGTCACTTGGTTTACAATCGACCAGGGGATCCCAAGCTCGTTGACTCCTCTTCTTTGAGAAGCTCGAGCCATGAGTCAAACACAGAGCTTCACCATCCTGAAATGTTTTAGAGATTCAATTTCACCTACCTCAAAAATATACCTCCCCTGGCCAGCCAGAAGGAAGCGTCGCTGGCTGAGATTTACCCTAAGAGCAGGGGCCTTTCTGTGAAAATGGTGCCACATTTTCTGAGCATCTTCCCTTCCAGGCTCTGCCCTGAGCTGAGCCCAAGTGCAGGGCCTGTTGTCAAGGTGGGAAGAGAGAACCTTCCAGCCTCTCGGGGCAAGCCTAGCCGAAGGCGAATCTTGGGGTGCTTTCATGCACTCCACCACGAGTGGGCTCTTCCTTTCCCACCCCCTCGGCATCTGGTTCGCCAGAAATGACGTCAGCTGGAGGATGTGCGGTCATGGGAGGACCCCAGGTGGGAAGGGTGATGGGGAGAGAGCGACCCCGCAGAGTGGGGCCCTCGCTCTGACCAGTGTGGGAACCCCTGGGGGTGTGTTCCTGTGGGTGGGGGCGCCCCGCACCCCTGCCTTCTGCCACCCACACGTGCTCTTGTTGCAGTTGTACACCTCTTTCCTGCAACCTTTGTTCCACTTGATAGGCGAGGAAACCGAGGCTCAGGGGGGCTCTCTGAGGTCACTCAGGCGGGCGCCTGGGTGCAGCTGAGCTCCGAGGAGGGGCACGCGTGAGCTCCAGCCTGGGGCACCGCCCAGGTGCACTTTTTTTTTTTAATTAACATGAGCCTCATGTAAAATGTTACAGAACATCAAGTGTTTCCTTTGATGCCCACAAAGATCTGCAGGCTGTGTTCCAACAGGCTCTGTGAGCACCTGCATGCAATGTGCGGAAAGGTTATTCAAGTTAGTATTTCTGGCATTTGCTGATCTTAAAATAGAAGCAAAACCCCCCAGTTCCTTAGATAATAGAACTGGGCAAATACTGGCAGCATTTTCACGCAAAGCCAGCCTCCTCCCGGGGAGGGAGAGTGGACTTTCTCCTGGGGAAAGCAGCAAGCGTCTGTGGGTGTCTGCTCCGCTGGGCGGGGAGGGCCGGCTGCCGAAGGGCACCTCGGGTCCCACCTCCTGAAGTGCTCCCCCAGC